GAGAGGTGACGAAGTGTCCGGAGTTCGCGATAATTTCGTCGTGAAGAGCGCATTTTTCTTTCGTCGTCGTCATCGTCTCCTCGTGCCCTGTCGTTTAATGGCACATGGACGATAGGTGGGACGCGGGAACGGTGCCTCAGAAAGGTGAAAAGAGAAAAATGGGAACGGAAGCGAAATTTCCACGAGAGTAAGCGAAACCCGTCCAAGTCGAACCTATTGCGGACGGCAGGATTCGGGACAAAGGGGAGCAAGAACGAAGAATTGGCGCCCGAGCGTGACGGATAACGAGGACGTTAATCACATGTTATCACTCGTTCGTGAAGGAAGACGTCTACGTCATAAGGGAGAAAGGAAGAGAGAAAAAGGAAACGAGAATTTACACGTGTGCTTCTGACACTCCATAACATAACTGCACCTTTTCGTCATAAGATGAATTATTCCGCAAGCCCAAGAAGATTGTATGTAAATTCAGGAAATTTCAAAATTCAGAATAATAGAAGTTAAAATCAGAAATAACTTTGATAATAAAATTTTCAAAATTTTATTTTATATTTTTGCAAAGTACGATGTGTCATGTAGATATTACAATCGTTCATTCATACCAATTTAGGAATAAAAACATGAATATTCATACTGCTGTTTATAAATTAGTGTAGATGAACGATTGTATTTTATGTATGATACATCGTATGTATAAACTTTGATGAAAAGTGTCAAAAATAATTTTGATAATTTTAAAGTGTTTCTAATTGACATTTTACGAATCCTATAAATAACAGGATATGCTTTTAGAGAAAGTCTTTTATTATTAAACCATAATAATTTTATTACATTACACAACTGCATCCGTTAATAAGCTAGGCAGAAGATATCATAATTAAGACGAATATGATTACAAAAAGGTTACTATCTTAAGCATCAAGTATAGAAAAGCCGTATTATAAAAGTAACTCGACTAAATTTTTGAGTAATTTATACCGTGATGGCATCCCCAAAACAAGAAGCGAAATTCAGGTAACAAATACGATAAACAAGAAATCGCTATTATAGTATTATAAGTATAATTGAATTTTCTTCCATTATCGCAGAAGAGAAACGAGAGTGTAAGCTTCGAAGAGTGGGATAGCGAATGCGTTTCGCCATCGATGGGAAGGGATGAAAAAAAGGAGGAAAGGATAAGGGATGAAAAGTAATGGCGCGACGAGACTCTCGGCGCCATTATGGTGGAGACGCCACGGCAGATAAACTTACGGCATGTACACAACGCCCGGGATTCCGTTTTACGGAATATTGCGAGATATGTTTTGCGAATAGATAAAGTGCAGAAATTACGACGAATCGATCCGCATGGAAATTAAAGCCAAAACTAGTCGCCGCAAGCGAAAGGTGAGCTACCGAGGCGCGCAGAAGGCGACCTGGTTACAAAAATTAATTTCGCGCTCCTTTGTTCGCGGGTAACGCAAAAATCATAAAATTCCTGACGGAATATTGCTCATAAGTTGTGACAGAACATTAATCATAGACTCGTTCTTTTATTTTTACCTGTCCCTCGACAGACGGACAGATTTCAACCAGATTTGTCGCGTGAAGTCGCGATATCAGAACAGTGTTAGAAACGTATCCGAACGGTAACTCTCGGGCAAACGCGTTGTCATTTATCACAATTCATTTGTCCAATTACTTTGAAAACGCAACGGTTGTTACGATTATTACTCGCTGGCACCGAGTTTATTCTACGTTAAAGCGATATTATCCTTCGACTCCTCGTTTGTGGTGCTTCTGCAACAGTAGTCTCTCTAAATCTGAATCAGTGGATAATCATTGATATCAGTGCCCAAGTATGCCACTGGTAATCGATGAATGAAATGTGAGATCCCTAACCTAGCTAATCTTTATTACGTGATTTAATTAACCTTGTTTTAGTGCATAAATTCAATGAATATGATATCGGAAGATTGAAATTAATGTGCAAATACTAATATTTTTGTTATATAATGAATAATGCTCAATCATTCTTCCTTTTTTAATTGAACGTCACTGATTATTCAGTGCCAAGTATGTCACTGGGTAATTAGTGACTATCCAATGAGATTCAGATTTAGAGAGCAACTATCCTTATTAGTGTGCCTTTAAGCCAATTAATTCATTATTGCATTAATGATTAAATACTGTAATTTTATTTTGTCTGTTTGAAATCAATATTGATTTTTCTACTATTTCTTTTTTTATAATATTTCTTTAATTAAAAAATATTAATGTTTTATGAGTGCGTTCCTCCAAGGAGCGATGGTTCTATTAATGTGCCCCCAATTTGTATGCCTATCATTTGATTCATTTTAACATATACTTACTAAGACAGATAATAGATATAAGCTACTTGTTTAAGTTAATATTGTATAAATCATTATTTTAATTATTACTGATTTCAATGTATACTAATAATAACATAACGCTCTAATGCAGGACACATTAATAAAGACAAGTTTAAAATCTTGCGATATTATTGGACTATCACGTAAATTCCTTTAAATTGTGATCTTTCGAAAAATGTTTATTATACTTTAATAGTTAAAAAATAAAATATTCTCTTTGACATAATTTAATTTGATAAAAAAGTATCTTTTCTTACATATTTGTGCTAGTTTTCTTTAGTTTATTTAAAATCAAAGGTAATAGGGACAGTTACCCTAACACATACATGTATTTCGCACAGCCGTTTTTCACGAACGTCATAGGCGACATCACAGTTAAGAAAAAAACAAGTTGCTCGAGTATCCGAGTTTATAGGATGTCTGTTTAGCAAAAATTTCAACGCGCAGGGCAAGATTTAGTGTGAAGCAACGAGGAAAACTCGGAGCTCCTTCCAGAAAAAGAAGAGAGTGGAGCAAGTTCTTCGACCACTTTCTTCAAACTCCTTCTTACTTTCATCATTAATACGAATTGCGTCGATCTAATTTCTGGGTTGGTTATGTACACGAATGAGAGCGGGGTTGCTATATCAAAAACGCGGTTCTGTGCCACATTAAACAACGCCTGCGGTATTTTCAGTCATCAAAAACATCGTTCTCGATAACGACTCTCGCAAGATGAAGCATTTAAGGCAAACAAGAAGATTGAAAAGAAAGAGAAATATCTCGCGAAATGTTTGCCACAAAATTTATTTCATGCTTATCAAAGAATCTACGTGTATATAATCTGCGAGGTTCGCATCATTAATCGAAAATCGATACCGCACGGTGTTATCAAAATAGAGAATTAAACGCGCCAAACTCGAAAGAATAGCAAAAAAGAAAAGAGCGAATGCATTTCCATCCGGTTGATGATTTAAACGGCGCTGCGAATGAAAAAGGTTGATGAAGGAGAACGAGGTGGAGACGGGTGATAAGAACCTCTTTATTTCCTTTATCAGGCCATGCGAAAGGTGGGAGGGATTCTCTCGATTACTGTACGTGCAATATACGAGCAACTCGGGCTGATTTGTACGCATATCGAAGACCTTTTCATAATCCTCCAGCGCTGGGAAAACGTGATCCGCCGGGCAGATTTTTCGTTCGCCGCGTATGTACTTGAAAAGCCGGCTCGTTTGAAGGGTACGGGGATTACTTACGACAAGTATAGAAATCGGAATTACGTCGCTTTTAATCACCGGCGATACAGTCTAGATCTATAAGTATATACGTCTCGTCTATATTTAAACATCTCCGATACCACTCGCTGTTTCAATAACTGCTCTTCAAATAAATTCCTCGGACATTTCGAAGCTGACACAGATATATGTTTATAACCGATTTAACCTTTAGAGGACAGAAATCTATTTTTAAATTCTTACAGCTTTTTCCTGAGTGAGATTTGTTATAATTTATTACTTGTACTTCTTGTTTCGAAATATCACAGTTTCAACGTCACTACAGTGTCTTTCTCAATCTATAAAAAGTTAATAAAATCATCCATTATCTTCTATCTTTTCCAATTGAGAGTAAAGGGAAAAATATCTTGTTAAGATGATGAATAGCTCATATAAATTTTCGAACACGCGCATGTATTTATTTTTCAAACGGAAATGATCGATTTCCTTTTTCTAAAGTAGCAAAGTACATCGCTGTAGACGTCTACATTGAATAGACGTGATCTACGTTTGATGCAAAGAGGGGCCGCAATCAACAATAGAGCAAAATAATAATAGAACTACGTGGTCGAAGTCGTAATTAAAATCTAATGCTATCAAGAACTTCCAACTTGAGATGAATTGTTGCGGAACACGCGACGTGATCGATCATCCACGGCGCATTACCGAATAAAAGCCTCATCGTACTATCGTAGAATCCGCAACAAGCAAAGCAACGCGATTCGTTCGTATTTCCATAGCAAGTATTTCGAGGAAAGAACGAGTCATTCTTATGTTTCGTTCTTTTCGTCGAGAGTATATAGAAGTATACGTATAATCATAATACTGGAAAGGGTATCCTTTATAGCGTATTTTATTTTAACATCTAGCTTCCTTTTTTTTCCTACATAGATTTTATTACGTTTATCACAAGTCATGAGACATTTACTACGTGGTAAAATTAATAGTTTGAATAGTAATAATGAGAATTGCTCGTTAAATGTATGAATCGTAAAAAATAAAATCTTAGAATATTGTACATAAGTATATATAATTACATATAATATTCCTTTATTATTTATTATGCATGATACTCTAATTTCTTCGCAGAGATTATTCGATTATTTCTTTACAGCTTTTACGTGTCGTAAAAAGTCGTAAAAAGTCGTAAAAAGGAATTCAAATAATTTCTGAGAAAGGATGATCTCTTACAATCTTCCATTTCCCTATGATTTCAAAATCTGTGCTAAATCAAGAAGCCGTTTCATGAAATTGAAATAAACTGTCTATTGACACTCGCAGTAAATTAGTGCCGAACTCATTAGTCCCTCTGACCGGTTCTGAGGACGATGCAAACAGAGAATACCTACCGTGGCATATACCGGGTGTGACTCACCTCGAATGTAGAGCGCAGCCGCACTGCATCGTGATGTAACTCGACGCTGGTGGTGGCGGAGGGGGTGTGAGGTATGTCGACGGTGGTAGTTCATGTCTGTGGGGATGATTGTGATGATGATTATGTGAATGGTTCAGGGAGCCTCGCAAAGTCCCAGGCAGATGGCGATGTGACTGCTCGCTGGAAACATCAACGAGAAAAAGATGTTAGTCAAGGGGATCGATACCGAAACTCTCGGGTGGTTATTCTTTTCCCACCGGATATGTACCGGGTACGGATGAAGTCCTACCAATGGTCGATCGTGCAGAAAAGCGTCTACTGTCGGTAATACTCAACGCAAGATAAGAGTCGCGAAAATGCGACTCGTGCAGATATTAAAGATTCGTACAATAATTCATTTATATAAATTATTTCAGTAGTATTTTTTACAAAAGTCAGGACAATATTTTTTTCTATAGAATAGGATAAATAAAATTATGACGTTTTTTATTTTCTCAATAAAGAAAATATTCTATTTAAAATATTTTATTTAAATTTGTTTATACTAAAAATAATATAATTTATCACTATTTTTTAGTATAAGTAAATTTAGAAAGAGTGGAATATTTTCTTAAATGAAATGTATTATAATTTATTATCTCGATGTGCTAAAAAACAAAAAGAGATATGCATTCATCTTATTCCTTTCTTGTAATAAATTATTTACAAATGTTATGCGCGCAGGATAAAATTCTCTTAAATCTCGCAAACCCATAAATTTCATATAACAGTAAAACATTTGAAATCCTGCATTTGAAATTAATTAATATTTGAGTCATGTTGTTTCGTAATCTTGTTTTATTTCCCTGAACCGTGTTACACACGTTCTTCTCGTAATCAGTTTAAAGAGTTTTAATTCTTATCAGATTGATAAAGTGTTATCGAATCAAACACGTTTTAAACTTTTTTCACATTAGCGTTAATGCTTATTTTAGTAATGGCATCATGGTCTTTCCGTATATTTCAATATTATCAACTATCAAGCAGTATCAGTTAGATAAATGCTAAAGATAAGGGACATTTTTCATCGTTAGTAATAAAAGGGAAAACATAAAAAGGAATATATAGTATGTTCTATATTAGAAGTTACAAATAATTTCGAAAAAGTGAATTTTCTAAAAAAAAAATTGCTGAAGCATTTCACAATTTTAAGATGAAAATATGATATAATAAATTTTTTATACGTTTTTTTAAACATCAATATTTAAAAAGAATCATATAATTTTTGTATATAATACGCTTTAATTATTCTATTTATAAAAATGTTGATATAATGTTGATAATTAATTATATATTAGGTGTTGGAATTAATTCGTAGCGTTTTTTAATGAAAGAATGTTATTTATTTCACATGAGCATTAAAAAATACATTAATGAAAGTACTTCCCATCACTTGTAAAACGCTACGAATTAATTCCAACACCTAATAGTTTCAAAATTTACTGAGAAAAATTGATCCCCTTTTTTGTGTCAACTAATTTTTATTATTTTATGTATAAAAATATTTATTTAAATGTTGATAATAATTATTAAAAGTTTCTGAGATAGTTTACATTTTATATCAAAGTATGTCGGAATAAATATTTTTATACATAAAATAATAAAATTAGTTGACACAAAAAAGTACATTATATAACTCAAAAAAATTAGGGGATCAATTTTTCTCAATAAATTTTGAAACTATAATTAAGAAAAAATTTTTTGTAATGCATGTTTTTCGAAAATAATTATATGTTTTATTCAATTAATTAATCTTTTATTTGATATATAAAAATGAAGTTAAAATTATTAGAAAATAAATATTTTATATGATATTTTACACATATACGTGAAGATCAAAATAAAATGTGAAATACGAATCTCTTGAACTATCGATTTTTTAATAAGCTTACTTTAATACTTTTATATGCAGAATATCTAGAAGAAACATAATTTCGTTAAAAAATCGTATATTTCCATTTAAAAAATACCAATGAAATTAATATACAATAATGCGTAAAAAATGTGTTCATCATATCTTCCTGCTTAAAATTGTGAAAGCCTTATACGTGAGTAAAAATTTTTTTCATAAAACTTTATTAAATTTTGATTCTTAAAATAGAACAATCAAACATTTTTGAATAATAAATCCAAAATGACGTTTTTCATCATTGTATAATTCATTTCTTTTATATAGTAACTATTAGTGCTAGAATGTTTTATAACTAGGAATATATACAAATTCTTTTTTAACGTGGAATTTTTGAGATTCGATTTGTTTTCGCACCTGCCTGTAATTATATGCAGAAGGACGTTACATCCGGTCGCGAGGTACCATCGCACCTGGGCTCCCTTTATTCTGAAATTCTGGTGGGGGTTGTATGCACAATAGGTGATTGTCTACATCCGGAAAGCTTTGCTATTTGTTCGAGATATTTCCATGCATATTTGTTACAAATTTGATGTCTGTTTACAAGCGAAAGCATTAATCTACTAATTAGCAGATTTTCTGGCAAATATAAATTTGCTTTCTGAGCAAAGATATAATTATCTCATATAAACGTATAAATGGGTAAATGAGATATATGGAGATATTATTGATCGTTCTATAAATGCAAACAAGTTAATAAATTCTTACAAATCGATATTTCACAAATTCATTTAATTTATTTCTAACTTAAATTTTCAATAAGAAAAGAAAAAAACCAGCTGCAAGAAAGATTTTAATTTTATCTAAAATAAACGTTTTCTAAGCATAACAATTGTATCCCTAATTACATATGTAACGTTCTTTCTCACAGACAGATTAAGGTTTATCGTGGTAACACGTAAAACCGGAAATGTCGAAAGGAGCGAGTGAGTCTTTTAACAAATAGGGTTCTTATCTGCCTCTGAACTAATCTTTCCGCTTTCTGTCGTACCGCTATCATTTAGTTTTTTAGTCGACGAAAAAAAGGAAGAAAAAACGTATATCCGGTATATACGTACAATGAATGCAATAGTTTTCACGCGAAGCTCTAATAAGCTCAGTTCAAGCTTTATTCGTTTGACGATTAAAAATTTCTCGATGAAACTTCGCTGATGAGTTCGATGAGTTTTTAATAGACGATAATGATTCTGCAAGGCGAAACTTTGATCATATACCATCTGGACTGGAGTATGTGTTCCGACACGTTGTAATGAAGCCAGGAGCGTAAACTTCTAAGAATAGCGATGCTTGAGACAAGACGAAGACTGACGTGCATTTTCGCGAAAGAGAGTGTAATTAGACGTCGCGTCGGCCGTTATCAAGATCCATGCGTGTAACAGTGAATCGCTGAGTAATTAGGTGAACGAGAATAAACATGTACAACTAATTCAACGGTACGGGTATCCTTTCCGTTTTAAATTACTTAAACAACAGAATGATCAAAAATAACTTTCTCTGAGAGAAGTTTGTTTTACAGTTAAGTGCACGCTTTAAAAATTAATTAAGTTAATAAATCCGTCAGTTAGATTAAAATTATAATAAATATAAAGTTACCTAACGAAATAAAGTTACCTACGAAATTCGTATTATTTATTTCAGCAGACAGACAGAAAATCATAATTAACAATAAACATAAACGTAAATTTATATAAATTTATTTCGTACATATGCATGTCGAAAAACATGTCGTACATGGGAATTTTAGCTGATTACTTATTTCGTTCCATAATAAAACGTAAGTAAGGATGAGTAGGTCAACCAGCATAACGCAGATATCTACGTAATAATATAGTACCAACAGTGTTGTAAATAGAGGAACATTTCAAGCTTTATTCGGATCTTTTCCAATTAAAGTAAAGTACCGTTGCGTTGTGAATGGCGGAACGTTTCAGTCTTTATTCAATTCCTTTTCAACCAAAGCAAAAACATTGGTTATATATTTTGTTTGAAAAAGACTAAACAAAATTAAAATGTATGTAAGTTAGTACGGTATTAGCGCATGAATATTTGTGGTGACTTATATTAAGCTTAATCATTATTCAGACTTTTTTTTCGCACCTGCCAATTTCTTTTTTTATTGTGTGAAAAACTTGCATTCCTTGATGGTTTATGCAGCAGCATAAGATAATCTTAAACTTAATCCCTTTGTATGGAAATTTTTGCAAGAGATTTAAGACTAATCATATATTACTTACTTCTGACTAATCATATATTAGATCGTGACACGTCACAAGCCAAAAATGACATACTGAAGTTTTTTAAATGCCATTTATAAATAAAGAAAATTTGATAAAATAATGAGATTACTTTTTAAAACTCTTAAAATTGACAAAAACTATCCTTATCCCCTCTCTCAATAGTCTGTAAATAAAAAAGAATTATAAAGTAATTTCATTATTTTATTTTATAAAAATTCTGTCTCTTTATTTACAAATGGCACGCAAGAAACTTAAACGTGTCATTTCTTGCTTATGACGTCACGATCTAAGATAGTCACGGAAACTAGTCAGGAGCAAGTCGAGAAAAATTTAAAGCGCGAGAATTCGTTACATCTAAAGAACTGGCACAGAATGAGAGATTAGATCGACACGGAGGGCTTAAAAATGCAAGCTCTAAATCTACCACGAATCCACTCGTGCTTGCGATGTAATTCAGGACCGTCGTGCGAGGATTCTTGAAAAGGTTCATCGCGCAAATGTTTAACGGAGAAGTCACTGAAAAACGCGAGGAGCGTTTTCATGTATCCGCGCAATTTGCTCGATGCAGCACGTCCGTACAATAAGTTATGAGCGAGCTGAGTAAAAGAAGGGCAAACGAGCGAAGCTGGGTCGAGACAGAAGGGAAGATTGTGAAGTATTTCTACGTATAAATGTTTCAAAGTGGCGGCAAAGACACGTTTTATTTCAGGCCGCAGAACGTGCGTCTCGAACTTTACATTTTACGAAGTCGAAAAATTACAACTCGCATTCTCTGCAAATATTCTATAAAACAGGAGTATGTGAATAGTACGTACAACGTAAAACGCAAATCAAGAGGCGAGAGAGACTACTCAGAACGTAAAAACTTTCGTCTTTCTCTCTTTTTTTACAGTCGTTACACAGTTATAAACGAGAGTCGCTTGTGAAACATTAAGTTTCACGTTGCGGACGGTTGCATTTTGTATGAAAAAATTCATATGCACGTCATTAAATTT